TGAAAGTCAAGATAACGCAATACCTTTTTAAAAGAAATCGGGGTTTTTATCTGATTCTCAGTAACAAATTGTTCTAGACTGCATAGAATATAATAATAATCTACAATAAAGAACAAATACACTTGGTGTTGTTTTACTTGTATCTTCCCATTGTTATTCAGGACTGAAATTGATCGGTCTCATGTTGGCACATGCGCATCCTGTGCGGATTGCCTAGATATAGCATTAAGTCACAAGCATTCTCAGTAAAAATGGATAGTGGTTAGCAGTGGAATCCAGGACGCGCAATTCGTTCTAATTGGAACTCGTCAGCTGGATGTACCTGCATCGCAGAGTTGATGTTCACTCCAGGACTCGAACATCAACTCTCTTTAATTCTATCTTCCGCTGCCGGACATTCTACATCCGATTGCGGCTACATACTACTTATATCTGTCAGCATAAGTAATTTACACAAGAGTACAATCTATAATTAAGATTATTTCAGATTTGTTCCTAAATACGTAGCTTTTTCTCAGATGCACTTGACTTCATTCTCAATTTATTTATTGTCTAATTATCATCCTTATCTTTAAACATTTATGTACTTAGCTACTGTATTTCTTTTTATTCCAAATTAAGATGTATTTTCTCGACTGATTTTCTGGTCTAACATAGTTGCACCATACGGAATCCTAAAGATTATCGTTAAGGTGAAATGATTGAATTATTAGCTCTAGTTTTGTGATTAGTCAATAAAAATCTTAATTGGGTAAGTAATCACAATAAAGTAACGTTTCATAAAAAGTAACACCATTAAGAATACAGAAAACAAAATGTTTAATCCTATCGATAAAATTCTCTGACCCATAACACACGTGAACAGCGATTAAGTTTTTATTGTGTAACAAGGTAGTAAAATAAATTTAGCAACTCTCTCTTTATCTACTAAAAATTCTCATACCAATTGTAAATCCTTCATCCGTCGGTTTGAAAATCTAATTATCCAAAAAATGACAATTAATGAATCACTGAAACGAATAGAGCATAGAATACATATTTCGTTGTGATTGGGAACTTTTCATCACAGTATGTTCAGAAGAATTAATACTGAGTACCACTGTTTTTTTATTTATTGCATTGTGCTATTTTACCACAAAACTAACATGATTAACTTTAAAACTAAGTCAACCAATCTTTAATTTGTGTAAATTCCCTAATACTTTAATCGTTAAACTTTAAAATGAACGGATATTGAATGTACCAAGATGTAAAATCATTTCACCATATTATTACTTATCCGAAATATATAATCACTATCATGTAAAATCAGTGCCAAATATGAATTATACACATTTTATTAATCAATTCGATAAAAACATTGATGCTACTCGAAACGAAACACAATAAAATGTCAGAGGAATGACCTAAACATTTTGTTACATACGCTATTCAAATACTTACCAATTAACAAAAAAAAACAATGTTGGACTTCAGTTAATGTTAGATTGAATATTGTTATAAGAAAATATGTTATGAGGTAGCACAGTTAATGGTATCTTAGGATAATGTTAGGAAAAAGCGAAAAAAGGAAATTGTGAATTTAGGTATCTAGTGTTTAACAAAAGTATTCATCGAACAGTTATTTCAAATTACTTTAAATTAATTGTAACTTTATACTCTTTTTGGCCAATTATTTCGTTGAAATTATGAATCAATAAATTTAGGTCACCAATGGAAACCTGGACGACCATTTATGTCCCGGTAAGGGACTTCTCAGCAGGGCGCATCCAGATAATACATGCGGGAAATCGACCCATGGTCCAGCGCCCAAACTCTGAGCAGACATCCAACGGTGTTTATGTCTGACTTCAATCGAACCACGAAATAGTGCTACAATCTTCAATTGCCTTCGGTGGGTAGCTGTCTCACAACAAACATGGATTAGCTCCACTGGTCAATTATGACCAATGATTATTGTTAAATATTACAATTACTAAACATATGAATGCCTAAATACCATAGATATATTCCACACTAAACCTCGAAATTGTTATATCATGATCAGGCATTTTACTTGAATAATCACGTAAGTTAAGAATCAGAACGACAAGCGATACTCACCTTGTTTTTGAATGTTCTGATTGGTGTGAGAACTTACACAATTCATTTATCGTGTAAAAACATGAAATGTGTTGATTTTTATGACGTAAATGATATGTGTATATATAACAGTAATTTTTATTCAGTGAATACTGCTTCACTTTTGATACAAGCAGTCAATAGTATTATTGACAATCACACAAATACATGCATGACAGATAAGTATATTAACAGGTAATAGTTACATCTAATACTATCTCCAGAAACTGACCAGAATTACTTCTCAAAATACACATAAGGTTACATAACAAACAAATGGATAATCACCTAACAATTAGTATTCGGTCCAGAGAGTATACTAATCAAACAAAGGCTTGTCCGTACTCAATAACTTCCTACCGTTCAAGTACAGTTTACTCATCAGAAGTTGTTAACGTCGAATGAACTAGCAGGCTCACGAATGAGGACCAAAAGCAAAAGAATAAATACCTGATGATATATCCTGATTTCTGCATTTCATCAATCGTTTTTTAACACGAATACTATACACAATATAAAACGACCCAGCACATAAGCAGAGGTAAATGGTAACCAGTAGGAAAATTCGGCATGTGTTTCGCCCTATTTGGACTCATCAGCTGGATAGGAGAGTTGATTCTCACTCCGCGACTCGAACCAGTAATGTTTGCTTCAAACGCCACCGTGTTTCCCACTTAGCTTGTTCAATGGGGTAAATTGCAATTCACATCTTCCCACAGATGTTTAGGACTGCAATTTACCAGTTTCTTTTGGCAGATGAGCATCCTGTACGGATTGCTTTAAATTATTAGAATAATAAGCATTGATTGATGGTGGCTAGTCTTAGAGTGAACATCAACTCTGGAATACATGTACATCGACTTAACAAGTCCCATATGGGAAGAAACGTACGTGCTGGATTGCACTGTTAGCCACCATCCATCTCTTCTTATAATGCTTGTGACTTGTGGGAATATCGAGGTAATCTGCACAGGATGCACATATGCCAAAAGACACTGATCAATCGCAGTCTCAAGTATCAATGAGATAATTCAAACAATCAATACAAACCAACATGGCAACACATGTTTATTAGTCTATTAACATGAGGAACAAGCACTATGTTATGTCAATTCACGTATTGGAGTATCTTCAAATTCCTGTTTTGATCGTTTGGTAAAGCAATAGTATTTATGCTTGTAAAAAGGGCTGATAAATAAAACAAAGTGCATCAACATCGCTTTTATTTTTTCCGTATTATTTTGACCAAAATCAACCAACTGCCACTGATTATTGCCTACGAATAGCATTTTCATTGTCGATTATTTGTTTACTAAATGACAGGTAATACATAGTCAGACAAATTTCCGTGCAAATAAACAACTGTAATATTCTAAATTGTATACACATGGTCAGTTAACTAAAGGCTTTCATCTTTTGAAATCTGCTTAGTAGAAATCTAGTCCTAAATCACATGATCAAACTATTACTTGAACCCCTTCAGTCGTATTAAAAAACCCATTGATCTATTTGAACAATAATTTAAAAATTTGGTGATAAGTATGAAATTTTTCAATCATTTTGATCTATCAGTTCAGTTTAATTTGAGAGATTATTTAGCGGATACGGTCTCTCATCTATCTAATCATTATTATTATATATATATATATATATATATATATATATATATATATATATATATATATATATATATATATATATATATATATATATATATATATATATATATATATATATATATATATATATATATATATATATATATATATATATATATATATATATATATATATATAAGATGGAAGAAAATTTCAACCGAATTGAAGCAAGTAACGTAATACGATGAAAATCTGTTATGTTTCATGCACAGATATAGAAGAACAGACAACTCAATTGTCAGATAACAAAATATAATAGAGAAACGATGAAAGAATGTAAGAAAAAATAATATGACAAACAATTCATGAGGGAAAAAATAAAAAAGGATATAATGTAATGCTAATAAGTAGAAAAAAACTAATGATAAGGTTACAAATAAAAATATACTATTCATATATAGCAACAATGAGAAACTCTATAAATTTGCCTTAATATAACGACTTTAAGACATATATATACATAAATATGAATATATTATGTATGTATACTAAAATGGACAAAAATTGTTTTAAAAAGATGGGTAATGAGTAGAATAGACAGCGCCCATATTTAAAGCGAAATTATTAAACTCAAGCATAAATTAATTGATAAATATTTCAGATTTATTCCTATTACATATGTATATTGTTCATCAAAGTTTATACGGTTTTCAACTCACAAAAATAAGATAAAGGAAATAGTAAGAGTTCATTTATATGGTGAATACACTTGAAAATCCCTTATTCAACAGTGACAGAGCAACATTTGTAAGTGACAGATATTACACAATGGTGATGATATTGAAAACGATAACCATTGTTTTCTAAAGGAAGAAATGTAACATTAAATAGCAATTTTCATTCTGGAAAAAATCCATGTGGCACAGAAAATAAACCGAAAATAATCATCAATAAATGAAATTTGTTAGGTCCTCTTTTCGTGGTTGGCTATAACTCGAATAAATGGTTTTTAAAATATGATAGGGTCACGTTTTCTCATCTACAAAAAGTATGTAGGACATGTGGGAGAAACCGCTCCTTTATATATATATATATATATATATATATATATATATATATCAACGAAGATATAAAAAAGATGTAAATTCCATGTTTTAACTATTCGCACATTCCTTCAATACTCTACGATACGAATACAAGCAATTGTAAAAATGTGTTTCAAAAAACAACAAGAAGCCACAGATGAAAAGAAATGATGGATCAAATATTTTATGTGTAGCATTATTTTGAACAAGGTTCTACGTAGTTTGCAGGATATAGACCAACACGACCATCTTTTCGTCCTTTACACCAACCTTGGTCATCAGGTTCTTCAAGTTTTTCAAACGTGTCACCTATAATAAATAAACAAAAAAAAACTTTAGAAAGTTAGTATCCATAGATATTTAAAATAGTTACTTATCTTTATTATTATTATTGTTATTATTATTATTGCTACTGCTGCTAACATTATTATCTTAATTAATAAAATTCATATGATTCGAAGAGATAACTAACATCATAACACCAACTGGGAAATTATTAGAAAACAAGAGATCTAGGAACAGTTGTTTCATTTCCATTCGAGATTTATACAGAAATGTTTACTCGCTAACCCATATCGGGTCATTGAGAAGCTTGTCAATCCTTGGGTTTTATTTCATGTGGTGCTTCTGACACGCACGATTAAGAGTCACAAGCTAAGATGAGATAAACATTTTACTAGTATCTAGCCTCTTATATAACTCTGTTGTTAAAATAATTTCTTGGAGTTCCCAATAAATTAGTTATGAGTAAAACGTTTGAAATTTATAAAGAAAGATCAGGACTGTTATGACTATGAGCGACTTAATAAATGGAATAAGAAAAAGCTGATCTAATATATGCGGTGTATGGAGTAGATTTAACCATGTTTCACCTCCTGAAAAAATCAACTTCTAAACGAAAGCGTATGGATTGTAAAGGATAATTATTAAGAGATATGCAATTCACAATTAATAGAATAATAAGATGTAAAGAAGTTACTGAGAATGGGTAATATTTACACAACAATACAAGCATGAAATCTGTTAACAAGTGAAAGCAAAACAACCTCTATAAGTGAGTTAGATAAAAAATTTAGACTGTTTTATGTGGTGGTAATTTTTCAAGACATAAAACTGATATAAGCTTAAATTCGCTTTGTTCAAAAACACATTCGAACCCAAAAGACGGAAAACAACTATTCCGTTTTTCCCCAAGCATATATATACAAAATATTTAACACACCATAGACGTGGATGTGACTTAGCATCTAAATTGAAAAGAATTGTCTACTTATTCACCAAGGGTATGTTGATTAATGAAATAGCTAGAATCTTCAACAATTTGTTTTATCAGACTTTAAGGTTGAGGTTCGAATGAACGAAGATAAAAGACATAATATGATTATTTCACCATTAGAATATACATTTGATAGAATGACTTATAGTTGATGGAAAAACCGAACAAATGTTATGAAGATTAAGGACATAGTATTGGGTAAATTACATCATGAAATGAAAAATCTAGAGCAGGAAACTTTAACCATTGTTTACTTAAACAAACTGCGCTGACTGGAATCAGTTCTGAAAGCAAACCAACTTCAGCGCCATGAGTTCATGAAGTTCTTGACTCAAAATAATGTAAAAAGGAAACTATTTGATATGGTATTAGTAGTACATACATATGCAATTTTTATTTACTCATATAACCAACGGACACCGCCATTAAACACCATTATATATTCACTATCTTAATAAACCTTCTTAGTCGATTAAACTATACCACACTAGAAATACCGTAATCATTATGATTATCCTTGCTATGTTGCTCTTCCTATTACTCCAACTCAGTCTACTATTATATAAGCATTGGTACAATTAGGCACCAAATACATATGCACCATAACGTGTTATTCTCTATAATCTTACGAGTCACATACTTATGATAATGATCATTAAAAAACCAAGTTTTTGAAAATCTCCGTAAAATAACCAACTCAAATAATGTGATCACGACACAATGAAAATACAAAAATAGAAATATAAAATCAACTAAACACAAATGCAACATGAACATATAATCGATTAATGAATTGCAATAAATAAACAACGGACCAAACACTACAAAGATTTCTAATAGAAGGTAACCGTAAAAATATTAAAGTAAATCAGTGATATTAAACAGTGTCGTATTACCTAGTTCTTATGGTGGGTCAACTTTAATCGATTACTATACAATATGGCTATTGGGTTAAGTAACTCTACATTGAAATGGACTAGGTTTGACAATGGATGGTGGAATGAATATTTCAGCAACTCCTGATACCTGACACTCGCACCATCAAGGCATATCTAGAATCTCCAGCTGACTAATTTTCCCATGAGTATTGTTGACAGTAGTTAGCTATCATAAAACCTGGACATCCAGTGGAAAAAGGAAATAAATGATAACCTAATTGACACACAAGCCACTGAAAGGAGAACTGGGAGGAAACAACACTGCTTACGTCTTTTATGACAGAATAAAAATGAAACAATCTCAGGGGAAAATATTTGAACAGAAAGTATAGGGACCAACTAAGTAAATATCTGTTATAAAATTACAGTATACAATCTCAGTGGTTAAAGTACTTGGTTTTTAATCAGTGACTCGCAGATTCATATATTACGTACAGTGTACGTCAAAGCTAAATACAAGAATCTGTTCTCTGATAGTTAAGTTATATCAAATTAGTCAGGAGCAACCGCTAAAAACAATACGAGCGTAAACAATAAGAGATTATGTACGAAAATGAAAACAAGTTGATAAACATGAAATATGAAATTATTATTATTATTCTCAAAATTAAGATAACATGAAAAAGAAAATAGTAATTTTCGTGTACTTATTTTTTCATTAACATTTCTCGATCGAATAGTTCATTTTGCTAATTTAGTTGGTTATACGAAATGTTTTGATGATTTACCGATATCAGTTTGTTAGGAAAAATCCAGTGAAACAGATAAAAGTATTGTTCAACTTTAGAGCTTTTAAAAGATACACATTAGAATAGGTTAGTCAATACATTGATTCATTATTTAGTGGTCATTGAGACAAAGAAAGTGAAAAAATTGTAATCGAAAGGGTACAAAGTAAATACCTACCAGCAACGAAGCTGATTTCATCGCCATCTTGTCCAACATAATCATATAGTGCACGTACTTTTACACCTTCCCGACCATCATCATAAGTTGCATCATTGATTTCTTCAGTGTACATAGAATCGATGCCGCCGTCACCATCACCGGCAAAAGCAGCAGCGGAACTTGAACTCATAGCATATACACTAGCATTAACTCCATTAGTTGGTTTTCGATTTGTAGAAACTTTATCATCAAAAGGATTATTTGTACTAAAATTTAATCATAAGAAAAGAAAATTAATTATTATAAGATTAGTATATATCTAAATGGTTTTGTCACTTATGTAGTTTTTATCATTGACTGATTGATCTAAACAACTGGATTAATTAGCTAACTAGCTTTTCCACCCCCATCCCCAAGTAAAAAGAACTACATAATGTGTAGCTAATTCAATTTAGGGTAACTTAATTCTATTTCTACAAAAGGAAACGAGTAAACTATGTGAAAATGTAAGGAAATTATTATTTAATATCAAAGAATACAACCATGTCACTCCATATATGATGTTAGTAATAGCAATCATGAAAACAGACATACATCATACAGAACAGTTCAATAAGAATTCTTGTTTTTTGAATATCCATTACGTATATAGAACAGTTTATAAACGTTAGGAAAATAGTCTATATCTTGAAAAGTTTAAAAAATAACGACAATGGTTATGCTATACATAACATTTTAAATGAAAACTCTCTAATTTAAAATAACATAGGCGACTTGGAAAGGAATCTTCTACAGAGGGAATGTTTTGTTAAAAATTATTATTGGAAATAAGATGAATTTTTATGGATTATGTGGATACCGCACCCAAAAGTAGGTCCGAGAAGACAAGGACAAAATTAATGAAAACACTGGAAAATCAAAGACCAGAAAATGGATTTCCTTTTAATCCCAAGCGATGTAGTACAACTAGAAGCTTTATCTTTGGTACCTAAATCCTGAAATTATGGGCACAGAACCAACCAACTAGACACTGACGTACAGTTTGAGATTTTTTTCACTAACAACTGACTTGGTCTCAACCGAATCGAAGGAGCTACATAGGTTTAAAACCGCGTTAGTCGATGGCTATCAACAATACAAAAATAATAAACGTACCACTAAGCGTCTATTAACCAAGTTGCTCTAGGACGCTTTAACAATAATAAGAAAAGATGACACCCTGACTATAACCAAGCCAGGTAAGGGAGATGTCGCTTAAATAAACAAAACGGGATACGTCGATAAAAAGCTTTATGATTTCATCAAACTCCAAAAACTTATCGATAATAAACCAACCAAATGAAAAGATATAGATAAATTAGATCTATACTGCCGCTGTATCGACAACACACTCATCATAATAAACCAAATACCAATAAGGAACTCTTAAATCAGTTCAATAGCGTACACCCAGCATTGTCAATGGTCTGAGCACCCGGGCAGTATCACAGCCCACACACAAATAATGAACTCTCTATATCTATGGAAACTACTTTTCTCGCTTCGAATAACAATCAAATTATTATTATTATTATTATTATTATTATTATTATTATTATTATTATTATTACTAACCACATTATTCACCCTCTTTTATACTCATACAGCGGCTCGTCTTTGGTGGAAATTCGACTGTATCTAAACGTTCTCGAGTCACTGTCCGGTTGAAAATTGTATGTTACCATCGAATATGAGTACTGAGGCAGTTTTTCTAAAACCACGTGCACCATTCAAACTGGCTGCCTTCAACGTTCGCACACTTATGCAGGTCGGACAACAGATAGGGCTGGCTATGTCTTTGGAAAGTCTTAATATTGATGTTTGTTGTCTATCCGAGACCCGTATTCAAGACTCTGGCGAAGTACTACAAATTCGATCTCCATCTGTCGCTTCGAAAAGCTTGTTTTACGTGCGCTTATCCGGGGACCCTGTGGCATCTTCGTCTGGTCTTGCAGGCGTTGGTGTCGCACTAAGCGCTAGAGCTGAGGCACCACTAATCGATTGGATCCCCATTAACAGTCGGTTATGTGCTGTTAGATTAGAAAGTTCCATCAAAGTGAAAAGAAATCGGCGTGAGAAACGATGTCTCCTTGTTATCTCCACCTATGCCCCAACAGATTGTAGCCCGGATGCAATCAAGGATGAGTTCTACCATCTGTTAACTGTTCTCCAGAAAGTGCGTTCGACAGATATTGTAGTACTAGCCGGAGACTTGAATGCTCAGGTCGGGCGTCTAGGCACAGAAGAGAGTCGTTTAGGTGGCCGATGGGGACTCGTTGGTCGCAGGTCAGATAACGGGGACCGTCTACTGCAACTCTGCACAGACCACAACCTGTTTCTGGCTAGCACTAACTTTCGGCACAGTCATCGCCGATGTGCCACCTGGCGTTCTCCCTCTGCATCCCAAGCCTGGACTCAGATTGATCACATCGCGATCAGCTACCGCTGGCGTGGTTGTGTAAAAGACTGCCGCTCCTTTTGGAGTACCTATCTGGACTCTGACCATGCCTTGGTCTGTGCCAATCTTACCTTACTTTTCAGTGGACAACGAAGTGACCGCCACCAACGAATTGATATTAGCAAGCTGGTTGCAACTTCTGTTGCAAGTAAGTATCGAACCGAGCTAGCCTCTAGGCTAGCTACAATTCCACCGAAAAGTATAGATGAGCATTGGTCGCAATTGCATGACGCCATGAAAATGGCGAGTAAAGTCGTTCGCGGCTTCGCGAAACATCCAGCTTATAAGCACTGCGTTTCTTCAGGCTTCTTACAACTCATCGAAGCTCGTCGGTTACTCCGGGAGACCGTGAGTTTGACCACAAACGAAGGATGTTACGTAACGAAATTGGGCAAAGCTTGCGTAAGGACCGAGAAGCCTGGTGGTCAGAGCGTGCTAATGAGTTGGCAGCAGCATCTGCATCTGATATCTGCCGGAAGCTGTTTCAACTCATCTGAGTCACTGGCAGCGATAAGTCTGGTGTCAGCGAAACAATCTGTGAGGATGATGGGATGCTGATCACTAACATCCATCGACATCTTGGACGATGAACAGAATTTTTCGAAGGGCAGTTCGACTGGCCTGCTGCTCCGGCAACGTCGGTCAAACTGTCCTGCCCTCCATGGCCGGTGACGACATCCTAAAAGCCCTATATACAAACACCTCAGGCAGAGTGAGGGCATACAACCACCTCTCTCCATTGTTCCATTCGAGCAGTGGGGTTAATCAGGATTGCCCAATCTCACCATTCCTCTTCAACTTTGCCATCGATGACATTCTGGAAACAGCTCTGATGGATGTAAGTAATGGTGGTGTGGATCTGTTGCCTGGAAAAAGACTTCTCGACCTTGAGTATGCGGACAATATTGTCTCACTGTGCGATAATGCCCAAACCATGCAATCCGCACTTAATCAGTTGGCAATCAGTGTCCGTAGGTATGGTATGTGCTTTGCACCTTCGAAGTGCAAAGTACTTCTACAAGACTGGCAGGATTCTAATCCTGTACTCACTCTGGATGGTGAGCAGATAGACGTAGTCGAGAAGTTCGTGTATCTGGGTAGCTGCATAAGTTCTGGTGGGGGTGTGAGTGATGAGATCAATGCACGTATAGTGAAAGCCAGAGCGGCTTATGCCAATCTGGGCCATCTTTGGCGCCTTCGTGATGTTAGTCTGGCTGTAAAAGGTCGGATCTACAACGCGTCGGTGAGAGCAGTTTTGCTCTATGCTTGTGAAACCTGGCCTCTCCGAGTTCAGGACGTTAGACGACTCTCTGTGTTCGATCATCGTTGTCTCAGAAGGATTGCTGACATCCAGTGGCAACACCATGTTAGTAATGCAGAGGTTCGGCATCGTGTGTTCGGGCACAGAGACGATAATGCAATCGATGTAACCATCTTGAAACACTGACTTCGGTGGCTTGGACATGTTCTACGAATGTCGTCCCAGAGAATTCCACGTCGTGCATTATTTGCCGACTCTGGGACTGGTTGGAAGAAGCGGAGAGGTGGTCAGTATATGACATGGTGTCGTGGTATGAAAGAAAGCTGCAAAGGACTGGCTTCTGTCGGTCCTTCATGACTCCCTTGGTTGGGGTCCGAGAGATGGTGCAACACAGTGGCTAGAGACGATATCAGATATGGCTCAGAATAGAAGCCAGTAGCGATCTTGCTGTAAACTTCTCTTACATTCTTCAGGAAAAGTTGCCGTAGCTTCCTTAACTGAAAGAATTATTTATGGTTGTACCTTTCTGTTTCCCACATTATTATTATGATTATCATGTCACTACTATACACTAATTTGTGGTTGTTATTGTCCTTTTTTCTTTTTACATGCACCTTACATTATTCATCTCCTCCCATTTTCATTATTTTGGGTAGCGCATATGTATCTGGTGCCCCCTTGTACCAATATTTATGTCAGTCAGTCAGTAACAACATAGAACTTTGTACGTACGTACATCAGTTCGAATTGCCACACCACATTAGCACAAAGATGCAGTTGTCGATTCAAATCCCGTAGTGATAGAGGTAGTACAAGTAAAAGCAGTAGTCGGAACGACTAGGGTTTGAAGATTTTATTCAAGTACTATAATCCAGTTAAATAAATTTGGAAAGAGAAAAAAAGGATATGAAGAATTCAGAAGATTAGAATTTGGGAGAACACAAAATGTGAATGCACCTGAACCATTGCAAACGATTTTGAGCTATGTCATTCAAGGTCTCTAACCGTCGGTTGCTATCATCTCGCAGATCCCTACCAGGTAGTCTACACCTACCAACATGGCTCAGTCCACTTGTCAGTGACTTCATGGACTTGTGTCATGTTTTGGTCTGGCCGCCCCTATCTTTCTTCCAATCTACTCCTACACCTTGACACATCGCACGTCGGGGCCGTCGGTCGTTGGACATACGTAACACGTGTCCCAACCACAAGGTTATACTTATGTGTTCAAATAAATAAATGTAAGTCAATGCATCAAACACAATTCCTTTTTTTTACTTTCATAAAAGAACACGACCGAATTTTTTGTGTAAATAAGAAAAATAAGTAACGTAAATGGTTATTTTGCAGAATGTTCAGAAACAGTAATAATAGTATTTGATTCGCAACAAAACGTACGTTTACCTCTTGAAAATGATAGCAAATACAATAAAACTACATAATAAGGCGAAAATTGAAAAGGTAACTAGCACAAAACATGAGTACTATAATATAGACTTACTCAGAATTTCGACCATTAGCTGATGAAACGATACTGTTCTCTGATTTTTTATTATGATTATTATTGTTACTTTTAGAATTATTAGATGTTATTTCATTAGACTCATGATCAAATGGATGACTTATCATTGTTATATTAGTTAAAGTGACAGGAGAATCGGGATCAGTTAGTGTAGCACGTTTTTTACCAGTAATATATGCAAGGTCTGGTGAATACTCCTATGAAAAAAGGAAAAAAATCAGAACCAAATTATATTTCTTTAAAAATGAAACTGTATGACACACTGAAATAGTTATACTTCAAGAAATGAATCCTTGAATAAAATTGAACGTTATATCTACTGAAATCGCCAATCATAAAAATTTCAGTGACATGTTGATTAGTCGTTCAATGATTAGTAGATTGATTATTTAGACTCTTTTGCTATTCATTTTGCTAACTGCATATCATTTTACCGATATGACGTGATGACTTGGACCAATGTACTATTGTTTCAAGTCTTATGTTGCTTATGATTGATTGACTGTAAGAATGATAGATTTTTTTATGGAAAATCCTCCATCAATCGTGTACATAACGTTTCATAACTAAAGATCGTTCACAGTCCACTAGATAATGGCAAAAAAATTAAAGTAATAGGGTTTTAATTTTACGAGGCTCCAAATAACCTACAAGGATCTTATACTGAATTTTTTAGCAGACTTGATTTTATTTTCTAATGTTCACTATTTTGTTATTGTATTAAGATATTTCTTTAACCTTGTGATTTTTGTTAACTTAAGAGATCTGTAGCATTGGTTTGATATTATTAAGTAACCATTACCCAGCTATCTCACGTATTACTGCATACTGATTAACTTGTAATCACAACTATAATCATACTATTTTTGTTTCTTTATTATACTAACTGTGGAAGAAGCTACACAATCATTGACGCAATTCAATTACCTTTTATTTAGCAATTAACATTACTAGCAGGATTAATAAAGATAAACGTGAACATCAAGCAGTAATCAGTAATAACTGATTAAACGACTAAAAACTACAACTCCTGAAACACTTAAGACATTTATATAAAAATATATAAAATGATTATGAAAATGAAATCACACGATAACCACTAACACATATCAATGGGCATTTTGAGCATAGAAAAATAAGAGATCTCAATGTTTTTTTAAAGAGAATCTATCTAATTTTCAACGGTTAAGCTTAAATTGAGTGATTGATTTCTGTCAGCTTACACATAAAATACCTGTGATACACAGTATACATTAAACGTTATTTGACAGTAGATTAACCACATAAGTTGTGGTTTCATTTATTGCATTTGCATCCAATTATTATTAGGACTAGTGTATAGATCTGTATATTAACTGTATACAGAATTATGTATGCATAAAAGACTATGATTAACGTAATATAAATAATTTGTGAAAGAAAAATAAAACTGAAGAGCATTGTTTTTAACTAAATCTTCACAAGATAACCATTTACAAAAGATATCTTATGATTATTCACAATAAAATCACGGTTTTCTTGATGTGCACAACAAATAATAAAGTACACAGTTAGTACGTGATAGTAAAAGTATTTTTAAAAATATGAGACAACATCACCCAAAATCAAAACAAACTATCCATATTTAGTTATTTTCTTTCATATGATCTAATAATTCTGCTCATCTCCTTTTACTTATTTCACATTCAACAACTTAACATCGCTATTGATAATGAGGGATTAGAAGGTGGAAAAAAAGAGAAAATTGGCCAATGAAACTCTATAAGTTAGTGGTAGACTGACAGATACACTACTCAAATTAAGACATGTATTATCAGTAGAATATTTAAGGTCATTATTAATTTTAAGGAAATGTTGATATTACTAACATTAGTAGGATAGACATATTACCAAAAGACAGAAGAAATCAGATATTTTGACGTAAATCCGATGTTCACGTGCTACAATCTGCGTGAATTTGACGTAAAACGATTTTCCCAAAAAAATCGATTATTGATGGGAAAAGAGTAGTTTTTTCCACTACTAATTTGGGATAGAAATCTAGAAAGTAAAGGGAGATCCTGACACAAAATCGATAGTATATAAGGTATAGAAGGGGAATCCATTGAAAAATAAAGAGACAAGAATGACAAAACAATCATCTGTATCGCACAAATCATAACAAAAGGACGAGAACAAATATTTCCGTACTAATTTAAACATTAAAGATAATAAATATTCATTATTGTAGCAGTCTGTGGATGCATAGAAGCACAACATGTATGCGGTAGAACATGAGTATACACATCAATGGTTTAAGCGTATTGCTCATTTGAGCAAACAATATATCGTTTTACATCTGAAATAAAATATTCGACATTAATTTGTGTATCTTCTTGAAAAGATAAAGTGAAATATGCACTTGGATAAAATATTGTTACTCTCATTATCCACCATACCAATGATGATTATAAGGGATAAAATTATTTTTAGAAGACAAATATCATTCAACAAATATTGTTTGCAGAATTTGTTAATTATTATCGCCTCCAATATAATCTCACTGATTACTGGTTTGAACTGTGTTATTAGGCGGAGATTATCTACCTCGTTGATCACTGAGTGATAATCGTAACCGATTATTAGATACTTCAAGTGATATATATTTAAATCAGACACAGAGATGCATGTAGATCTATTTATTATCTCCTAGATCTTGAGTTTCAATATTATTTTATACTTTGATTCCTCGAAATTCACTTTTTCTTTTCTAATCATATTCCTTATGCCTAGTTTTTCTCAATATCATTAATACTACTATTATTCTAACTAGTTCCCAACTAGTTAAATTCACCTCCATTTACTAGTATGATGTGACAACTTGCATCAAGGAATACTCGTGCCAGATCCTAACGGGCGATTATGACCGACTGGTTTTAATCTTTGAAACACTCATTTAGTAGCAGAAGACTGCGACAAAGAGAACAGGAAGAAAATCGGAGAGGAATCAAAGTAACAACAGAATAAAAGTGATAATGCAGTATGTAAAGGACCACGGAAAAAAATGTGTAAATGATGTGTTTAATGTGTGATTTTCATATTTTTCTAAAGCACTGTGCGATTTGGTTTTCCCCACCTGAGTTCTTGTTCACTACAATTCATTTATTAATGAAGTTTAGTTACTAAACTCTCTATAGAAAAGTTTTTGTAACACACTTTGAGTTACACTTACTATGGGAATAGGCTAGTAAAACTCTGAAGTTATTCATACCAATAACTCAGTGTCGTATTCTGAGGTTCAGTCAATTAAGTTATGCTTCACACGACAAAATAGCGAGGAATACTAAACAGTATATTACATTTTTTGGCATTTTTCGACAACGAACAGTAAATAAAAAAAGCCTGAAAGCTATAGATTCGTGCATAAAGATAGCTGGATTAAGTTTAGAACACAAGTCTGTATCAATTGATATCCAGTCGAGATAATAAAATGTTATCAGTTTACGAACTCCAGTGTAGTGAATATATGGGACAGATATTTCATCATAAAGATCTCGTCAAAAAGGTACCTTTAATCACATTAAATTAATTAAACAATCAACAAAGAATATATTAAAAATAAATTCACATAAATCTAAAAAGTAAGATTCCATTTTGAATAGTTCTTACTTCAAATTGTGGGGAAACAAAAGGCATATCAACTCCATGATTTGACGACCACAAATTTAAGTCTGCTTCAACATCACATTGTGAGATACTCTCTGCTAACTCACTGTAGATAGAATCGTAACTAAAAATATTTTCAACAAGAAAAAAAATGTCATTCTGTTACAAAAGATTTGGTATGGAACGTAAGAAAATGCAGTTAAGTGAAATACACAAACCTAAAAATGATAGAGATCATAAGGACACCTATAGATTTATACATAACGGGTTTCGTTTAAACACTTATACATTCATTACTATGTCAAAAGAATTTGTGTTTGTCATTTTATTATGGAATATACTGTAGTGAGAATAACATAAAATGACCCCTAGTAAAAGCTTACATAGTTTTCCTAGATAGAGAGAGCCAGAATGATTTAGTGATATTTTTGATATGGGAAGAATTGAACAAATAATTTACAAAATCAAAATTTTCGCTTTTCATTCTTTACTTTAAACAACTTCTAGATCATGCTTCGATTGTCCGGAAACAATTCATATTGTAAAATATGAAACTCCAATAGTTATTCTTATTCCAGCTTACGATATGTAGATTAGATTGCTATCATACTTGCGCATCGCCGGCTGTAGTCGGTTATATTACTATTATTATGAAGTGTAAAACCTTTCTATGTACTCACTAAACTTTGAAGTATCTTTATGACAAACGTTAGATTGAAATTATTTATGAAGTACATCTTTTCAAATTTTTCACCAATTCTGTACGAACCTGATTAAGCTTGTAAAAATTGATCCACTCTGTAATTATTATTAGAATAATATTATTATTATTATTATTATTATTACTATTGTTATTAATATTATTATTATTGTTTCATGTATTTTCCTTAACAAGTTTTCTATGTTGCTTGAAATGACTGTCATGGCTTAGCCTACATGCGAACCTCATTGTATTGAAAATAATGATATTATTCATGTGAAACTTTATATATGCACTAAGTTATGGTTGAATATTAGTAAGTAACTATACACCCAACTACTTCAAAAACTTCACGCACATAGAATATTCGTGCCAATTATTGAAACATACATGAAACTATTTTCTAAATATTCTACTGTTTGAAGTCAATTCAATTTAAAATAACGGAAAATTCGCAACATATCCTCTATAAATAGACAAAGTAAGGGACCATACGGAATGTATAACACACAATTATTGTCCTGAAGGAAAAGGTTAGAATTCAGAACAAGACAACTCTAAGTGCAAAGGAAAGATCGTAAAACATTTAAATTAACTTCGTCGACAGCAACTCAAGCAACGAGTAAAGAATGCATGTAAATCGCCCTTTTAAAAACTATTGAAAACGTTCATCTGTGCAGGAAAAAGATGGTAGGAAAGGATTACAAAGTTGTCACTGAGATAAGTAAACAAAATTATATAATAATTAATCCGTTGTAACTCATCTGCCAATCATTTGACTTTGAACAAACTGTTTATGTAAGAACCACACAGAACACCAAACCCACCTGGAGCCCCCTAGGTTTCCATAAAGTCCTAAGCCCGCATGAAGGAGGCTCAGGCGAAGGATTATCAACTTCATCTCGTAAGAGAACCTTGATAAAAAAACTCTGACCAGAAAAAATTATAAACATTGTGTAAACTCTGCCCAGGTATTTAAAGTCTTCATATAGAAGAGCTATGAAAGCTAAAAGTGAGAGCCGCGATTCTTCGGAAGCTACGAATTTAATGTCCCATATAACTAGCACAGCAACAATTAATATAGGTACACAGAATATCCGGACAATGCAGGAAACTGAGAGGGTCATTCGAATAGCCAAACAATTAAAAAGATATACTTTCGCTATGCTTGGAATAAGTGAAACTCATTGGACAGTCTGGAAAAGAAGAATAACTTCAATGGGGTCATCGAGAATGCAATCCACCAAACACAGACATTTTGCTGATCCCGTTCAAAAAGGCACTAAAAGCACATGAAGGATAGGAAACACATGGATTCAGGATCAAAGCATCCTCCATAACAAGCAAGGAAAGGATTACAATGAAAGTCATCTACTTCTAGGCATCTAATAATCATAGAAGAGAAGACGATAAAGATCAACTTCATGAGTAGCTGGAGTCCATCGTAGAGAAATGTTCAGGAAAACACCAGATTATCTTTGTGGGGAACCTGAACTCGGAACTCCAGACGGACAACGACGGTCATAAACGTACTATAATGAGATACTGACTGAGAAAAAGGAATAAGAATGGCAAAAAAACAGGTAGGTCTATTTGCTTTGAACAAAATGGCTACAGGTGGCACCCTTTTCCCCCACAAACGCACACGCACAACTACATGGGTTTCATTAAATCATATTACAGAAAACGATATCGACCGCATCTGTATTAATAAAAAAACGGACTGAAGAAGCAATGATTTCGACGTCCCAAGAGGTGCTGGGTCACAAGAAGCGGCAAAACAACGAGTTAATCCCTGAAAACAGTTTAGGCAAGATTCAATAATTGGAAAACAAGAAAACAACAGTCAACAGAAGCCGAAAAATGCAGAAAAACCTGAATACACAAAAACAAACAAATGAGAGAAAAAGAGCGTCACAGCTGACAAGTGGAAATATATAGAAAGACTGGAAACTAGTAAAACAAGCTGCAGAAGAAAGAAATATGGAAGAATCATATGATACAACGAAGCTTGATAGGTGAATCGATTAGGCCAGGGAAACCATTCAATAAAAAAGAAAACAAATTGCTGAGGTTCAAGAGGAGCGGAAGAGGTGACTAAAACACTTCAGTGAGCTTTTGAATAGACCAGCCCAACTGAACTCACCGGACATCGAAGCAATGCACACAAACTTTCCAATCGTGATGGATCACCACCAACAGGAGAAATCACCCAGGTAATCGTATGTTTTAAGTGTCGGAGCAGCAGGACCAACTGAAGCACTGAAGTCAAACACAGATGTAAAAATAATGACATTCCATGTTCTACTCAGAAGGATCTGAGAGGAAGAACAAACACCAACAGACTGGAAATAAAGATACCTCATTAGATACAGAAGATCTGAGTGTGAGAACTACAGAGTAACCACACCATTCTGAATGCTAGGGACAGTTTAACCAGCACTGTTGACACCCAACTTCAAGATCAGCAATCTGATTTTTTTAAGAAACGATAACGGATAGACTAAATCGCGACAATGCATTAGTATACAGCGAATTCCTTGGCTAGAAGAAAGAATTTGACAAAGTGGATGGGAAAAACTTACGGAATCTTCTTAGAGACTTTGGAGTCCCTAAAGACGCCGTTGCCATCGCACAGAACTCCGACTTGGGAGTGAATCGTGAAGTCTAACATGAAGGGGAACAATCAACCCAATGCTCAATTTATTCGAAATTATCAAATCAAACCTTGGTAATGACACCTATGAAGGGGAGCGTTAACAGATGCATTTCGACTGAGGAGTAGAGTCAGACAAATTACCTACTATCTCCTTTTCTCTCTCTTCTGGTTGTTGATTGGATTATGAGGACCTGCAGGAAGAGCACGGAATACAGTGAACACGTTGGATGATTTTGAGATGATTTAGCCCCTTTATACATACAAAACAAATGCACATGAAACAGTCAATATAGCAGTGGCTCCCGCAGAAATAGGCGTCAACATTCGCAAAGGAAAAGGCGAGATCCTGGAGTACAACACATTGGGCACCAACCAAATTACATTTAGTGGCAAAGCTCTGAAAACCTTCACGTACTTGGGCAGCATCATTGATAAACAAAGAGAGTCTGATCTAAATATGAAGGCATAAAATGCCAAGACAAGAACAACATTCCTACACCTGAATATCCGAAACTCAAAAGAATTGTAATCTAAGACAGAAGTTAGGATTGTCAACATAAACGTCCAAGCAGGTCTACTGTTCCGTGCTGAAACTTAGAAAACTAATACCACCACCACTGAAAAAGTATAAGTATTTACAAACAGTTGTCTACCCAAAATACTGAAGATCCACTGGCCAAAGACCATCAGCAATAACCTATTCTGGCAGAGAAAAGATAAGTTACCAAGTGAGGAGGCAATTAGGAAAAGACGCTCGAGGTAAATAGGATACACTTTACGGAAACCACCAAATCGAATCACAAGGCAAGCCATAACTTGGAATCCTCAAGACAAAAGGAAAAAGGCAGACCGAAACCACACGGAGCCAGGACTTGGACACAAACATTAAGACGATGAATGGCACTTGTCAACAACTAGAAAGGAGGACCCAGTACAGAGCTGGTTGGAGATCTCTGGTCAGTGACTTATGCCTGAAGAGCGGTGATAGGCCAAAGTAGGTAAGTATACGGAAACCCAAACCGAAGTACATTGTAGTGGATTCTCTTAGTAGTTAAAAACATTGGGTTTCCAATGAACAAGTCATAGGTATTAAGCCGACTTCGTCTACTCTGGTTTATGCGTTTATTTAGTATTCTGAGCTTTCAATGTACCTTCAAACCTGATAAAATAAACCTTACCTTGATAAATGAATCGCAATGTAAGGTAAATAACAAAAATACCAAATTGTAAATTCATGATAAAGCAATCATAGGTACTACCGCTAATCAAACGTCCAGTCAATCATATAACTATTGAATATTATCCAATTATCTCATGAACATGAAATAATTTATCTTGTTGTCATTATCAATCGAACCCTGATATAACATTAATGAATGAATTCTTAACATTAAAATTCTACTATTATTAAATTTATCATTAAATACACTGGGAAAACCTACTCAACTTTCGCACAAACATTAAGAGCACCATGTAGACTGTTAAATATATCTTTAAAAAAACTAAGACGTTCACGTTCAAAATCCTGTGTTCGATTAAATACCTTAAAAAAGAAAGCAAAAGAAATGAAAACTATAAAAGGTAAAGTAGACAAAAGAAATAATTGAATTATAGAATATTAAATCATCATAAAAAAATGAATTCTTGTCCTAATAAAAAAATTAGCATATATATTATCGTTATTAAAATTCTTTAGCTATTATTGTTATGCTTGTTTTTATTGTTCAAAAGAAAACACATTTAAACAATTTTATATGTGCAGTACATAAAATATCGAAACTTGTGACTCTATACAATAACTGATCACTAAGTAATAACGAATATTGCATTATCTGGTCCTTAGTTCAAATCGAATAGTATCGTTCAACTTAATATGTTCCCGCTTAGTTTGGTGACTTCACATCATAATGGCTTCACTTAATATCTTTGTGGTTGAAGGCGGTGAGGGTTATCATTCATAAGACGAGACCAATTAGTACAAACATCTCAACCCTACAAATGTTTATCGACAGCTAAAATGGCTTAGAGGTGACGTTTCTGACTATGGTACGGGTAGGAATTTCACGAAGATCAATATATGTTGCTAGTAATCTTTAACTAACATAAAACTTATGTTTATGCTCTCTGTGGTTTTCCTTCAACTATCTAACAACAAATTTGTAACGCAATAAACAGAAATATTCTGATCAGGATGTGGGTATCTTAAACTAAGTTAACAAAGATAAATAACTATGAAGATTTAGTAGTTTTCGTTATACACTTATTGACGTATAAAAATTTAAGTGGCTCGAAATAGCTTGGAATGATGCAGATGCAGACATCCTTTATCTCCTCTAAATTCTGGGTTTCTGGATTCTCCAGAATCTTTTTTGTGTTTTTATCTCACTAATTTATATTTTCTGGAAGCGCAAATTCGATGCCTAATCTTTTCTACCACCATTCATACTGTTACTACTTCTACTATGCCGGAGTTTGACCTGACAATTTCACATCTTTGATAATGGAGTATGGTAACTTGAACTGATGCACATACGTGCCAGGTTCCACGTTACGACTGATCGACTGTGGCACACAGAATCGGTCAAGCTAGGGGATAGTAACTTATCAATGATGTTGGATACGAATTCATCCAGATCTACAATCAACGAAAGTTGAAAATGTAGGCCGTTGGAGTACGATCTAAATGGTTTACAGGTATCACATTTGTCACAAGATCTTCAGATTCTGGGTTCAACTAAATGTATGTGGTCATGGGTGCAAACTGTTTTTCAAACTTTTCAATTTATTTCATCAATGTTCAAAATGATAAAGTTTCTATGATTTACACAGCTGTTGTTCAAATTCAAGTTGAAGTCTCGACTTTTGTACATTATTATTAGATCAATAATATCAAACATACTTTACGGTGTTCACTATTTTATACTATCTTTTTAAATTAAACTATAAATAGTTCCCAGAAGTTACCCATAATTCAATCCTCTTCGGACACGACAATAGATTAGTGGTCCCAATATAATAAATTGATACAAAAATGAGAAACAGTTTGGTAAACCATAAAATTTATAATGTTTTGTGTAAACTAGTAAAATCACATTTTTTTAGATTAAACTCCTTCCAGGGAAATGAAATTAAAGCAACAAAGCTTTAATAAAATAGCATTATTGATTTATTGTATTTGCTAATAACTTTCTTATTTAGGTCACCCCGAATTCTATAAATTAAATTGTTCAATTTACAGGCACTACACATCAGAACCTACTTAAAAGAGGGGACTATAATAGATCAGGTTTAAAATAGCGTTTCAGGCTACCAGTATTGTAGTATTTTCATTCGTACTATGCATAAAATTCCCTTTCGTCCCAAGAACATAAGATAGCATTAACAATAGCATGTTTTCTATGTTCTCGAAACAAATGTTACTTTACACAAGTGTCTTTTGATGTCCACTCAATGTACAAGGAATAAAACTCACTGAGATCATTCTTAGAGTCTAACAGTGGTTATTTTTATTTGACTTTGTGGAGAATATTGCTGACTTACAAATTTCCCATCAGTTGAAAAAAAAACTATGAGAAATCATGTCAGATCTTTAAACAGAATAGATATTTTTACGACTCGAACACTAATTTTTTATAAAGTAATTATGGCTTTATTTCTAAATTAAGAAAAAACGAGATAATTCCATCCAATTGAAATTCTCCATTATCAGTGCAATATACTGGGTGTATGTACCGATACACCTACCTAAAATCACCATTATTCAGTCGAATCAAACAAAAATAGTGAGTAAATTAGTCATTATTATCCGATATTGACACCAAATTATTTTAGTTACTAACTCAAGTACTTCATTTTTACACATCTAACTGAATTTTTAGCATATATCACTTCATATCCCATACGAGACCGTTTTAATAGTAGTTTTACAAAAAAATCCTATTCACTGTAGTAAATATGGAAGCACAATGAATAAGTAGAATGACTAATTTTTTCAAAGAGCTGATCGATTTTCCCTTACCCAGAGATGACTACTTTACATATATCCATTTGGGTGATTCATAATTTACAATGCCTGTATGCTTTCGAAAATGATCTAAGATGTCGAAGTTTATAAAATATGACTTCTATGCATGAACCTTTAGACCATTGGTTGCATAGTTGTCATTTGACAACCAACATGATAACGTAAATTGTTAAAAAGTAATAAACACTTAATCATTGTGTAACAAAGAGCCAGTAAAACGACAGAAAAACCTAATGTCAATATATGGTAAAATAATAACACTATTTATACCAAACAAACGTCAGAGAAAACATATACCTGACAAAACAGAGAAGTTTGGTTATAGAATGCGAATACAGTGTCATAACAGATATCATAAATTTTATTACGTTTGTCATATAATACATAGCTGAGGTTTGTTAATTTAAAATCAAAAGCCCTATCAAGTGAATATTAACAATTGAAACTGGTCTACACACAGTCAGATATCGACAATGGATGAAGTCCATAACCTAGTAGGTGATTCTATACGTCATCCAGTAGATATTAATGTTTGAATTGATGGCACTGACCTACTGAATGATAAATTTATCAACCGGGATCAGATGATCTTACAAACAAACATAGTTGTGATTGTAGAACAATCACAGGATGTTAAGAAGCCACAAATTGTCGTCAGGTGAAGGGACATCTCTGATGTGTTCATATTAATTCTACGTTCACAGTCTACTGAATGAAATGATATATATATATATATATATATATATATATATATATATATATATATATCTTAATGACAACTTTTATCGCTATCTTCCATAGCATAATATTTCTTTACTCATAACAAGCAAAAATTTTGGCACAAAAGGGTACTGAAAGAATGGGTCATACAAAACAGGATGATAATGTTTTGATGAAATAAAACCGGAGCAGGTAATTTTCCTAGACGGTCACACCCCAAGCTTTTGACATAATAGTGGAGCAATATCAGATGTAACCCCACAGCAACCAGTAACAACTAAAGTAGATCGAGAATCAGTGTTTTTTTTAACTAATCTAGGTGTACTCTTCACATCCACCAATCCAGTTTATTCGCTGGGTAAGAGAGAATTCAAAAATAAAGATCTATTTCAAGATAGATATTATCTATCTAACAACAAAATAAGCGTTTTAAAATACGTAGAAAAATAAATCGAACAAAAAGAAACAATGAAGCACAATTAAAACAACCCATCTACAAGGAATTCAATATTAGCAAACATAGAAGCAACAATTAAACAATTATTTTATTTGTAGATAATATAGATTCGATTATGAAAACTTGAAAAGAAAACAGAATTGTTTTCTTTTAACTACTTACTTTGGTCATTTCTTCAACATATCGTGAACTTTCAGTATTTAAATCAGCCAATGCCATTTTATATGCATCACGAGTTCGATAAACATCTTTTTCTGCTTTAGCTAATTTTTCTTGTGTTTTCTTAAGCTATAAGAATTTCAAAAGAAATCAGTTAATTTTACAACAGAACTGAATATTGTCAGTAGATTCATGAATTTAGAGCTCTGAATAATCGATATTAAGAATAATTTTCCCAGCTGAATCACAGAAAGTGAACTTTTTAAACAAATAAATACCGTTTATGTTAGATTTTTTAATGATAGCAGCATTTTCCGACAGAATTTCAAGAGTGGGAAAAAGTTGATGATTCTTTAAGATATTTGGCTTGCAGAATTTATCACATTGATGTTAAACAAAAGAAAAACTATAAAGCCTATATTTTAAGTAACACATTTATCAAACTAGAGGCAGTTTTGACATACACCGATTAATAACAAACATCAATGAATGAAAAGATCACTGATTATTTAGGTTTCATATTTCAGCAGTGAACTAATGATAATTAAAAAGTGCACTGAATCAAGCAAATCAAACTACACTTTAGAACACAAATAAGAAACAAATGGAATAATGATAGCCAACCTTCTGAAACTGTATAATAATTGGTATGGTAAAACAAATAAATCAGTGACTAACACCCCAAACTACACACACTATATCATTTAAAAACGACTCATAGTTGTTTAAAAAAGGATAATAATTCGTAGAAATAATAAATCCTCTGAACTAAATATGTAGAATTATGTTAGTTCATTTCATAATTCGGTAGCAACTTGGCAATAATATCAATGCATTTGAATAAATAAGTAAAATAAGTGCGATTAATTGGAGTTTTCATGATGTATAATAAAATATTTATACATGTTTGTGAAATATAACATGATAGTTGAAATAAATTAAGCTAGATATCCAGAGCTCATGACAGTTGTTTGGGAGATAATTCTCAATATTCATTACTAGTTAAGACCTATATTCGGTTTAAATCTGAAAACATGACCTCATCATTAAGAACACATGAACTTTTATATTTAATTTTCTCATACGTCTTAAAAATTGGTGTTGTGCTAGTTAATTAACATTTTTATTGAAAACTATGGTGTAACCAAAATGTTCTACTTTATGCCTAGCGCTACAACTAACGCCTTTCTACATAGCATGACAAAAGCTAAAAGAGAATCTAGATATACTATACATTTATATATCTTGTGGGGAAATTCAGAAGCGTATATATGTATAGATAGACATGTTAATTTATAAAATAATACAAGTATGATCAGTTCAGAAGTCGATTACATAGTGACAGATGTTAATCGTACCACTACACTATCGTTCGATGAGGCAAAAAAAGTCCTTGTTCTCAATCCATTTCCGTAGGATTTTACTAAGTTCCATTCCAGAAAAAGTTCTTGAAAATCGACTTCAAAGAGTTGCAACAGTTATTTTGACAGACATTGCTCTATGATTCGTTAGGAACTGCTTGCTGGCTGCTGAGTATTTTGTCGTCTCCACAAAACTATGGTTATCACTTCTTCCACAATTGCAATAATCTTATCTAAAAATAAGTCAAATGGAGGCAACAACTGAGAGCTATGTAAACTAGCCTCACATGGACTTCGAAATTAAGCAACCAGTTAGTTTAAAACATGAAATTAGGACATGAGCCAAAAAACGCCGTAGGAAGCACAATCTCAACGCTGTTAAATAATAGAATTAGTGGTAGTATGCAGAAATTAACGTTTGTAGGTTCCAGTATGGTGCGTTTTTGACGATAAAACTTTTCAACTATCCCTATGCTATATATATATATATATATATATATATATATAGAGAGAGAGAGAGAGAGAGAGAGAGAGAGAATTATTATCGTAAAATATAAAGTACTACTGGACATGAACTGTAGTATAAAAAAATGCACCTCCTGCACAGAAAATCCACACGTAGTTGAATGTTAAGGAAAGATTCTGTGCCTAACTATACACAAACCACAGTACCTTTAAATAAACAACTTTAATTGATACCTAACGATTTGGCTTATCAAAAGCAGACAGAAGAAAACAAAACAAGATAATACGAATGACTAATCAATGAGATGGAGGATATATATATAATTTGCTCTACAGAAATAGGTTATCATTCATAACATGTTAGGTGTAAATATATTAGTATCTGGAAATAACTATATGTATAAACATAAGATATTGAACAAACAAACAAACACCAAAAAAATTGGCAAGTAGTCCAAACGAAGCAAAATGAAAAGACTTGAAAAGTATGCTAATAAGGGAAATAAGTATTTACAGAGCGTGAAACGTCGAAGACCTTTTGTGCATTTGATCTGTTTACTTGGTAGTCTATAACCAAAAACAATATGTGCCCTATAAACTAATATTTCAGTCAAAGTGAATGTTTTCAGACTCTATCTCCTAAAAAAGAAACTAAACAACAACCACAACTGAACAAACTAAAAAGCTTCGAAATAATAGATCACCATGACCGAGCTGCTAAACTGTTAAAATGAAAATTGCAGTCAGTCTATGACACGGCTATTTTATTCAGGATTAAATGCCGAATAGAGATCCCAGAAAGCATAAATGTTTTATAACTGCCAGCTAAATAATAAGAGACGGTTCAAGAAGTGTTCAACTCAAATCCCAGACAATTTTACCGTGTACTGAAAATACATGACATAGAAGTAGTAAATGGCGTTCACATGCGCATATATTTATCAATGAACCTCCTAACTGTTACACCCAACTTGTGAAGAACGGTTTCTAGAACTTATATTTACTATATTTGAGCGATGAATTCAGTTGACTCAAATTTCCAAAAGAAATATTATCTGAAGGTCATTAACCTACAGTCTATTGCAGTCATGTGTTTTTTATAAATGCGACTCATACACTTCAGTTTATTGAGGGGGGATATTAATCATCATGCAGCAGAATGCCAGTGATCAGACTTTAAGGAATATATAGACATGAGGACAAATCAATGCAGCTCACATTTAAGCAACGAAACAAAAAATTGCCAGGTCAGTATAGTCAGTCAGTCAGTCAGTCAGTCAGTAACAACGTAGAACTTCGTACGTACGTACATCAGTTCGAGTTGCCACACCACATTAGCACAGAGATGCAGTGGTCGATTCAAATCCCGTAGTAGTAGAGGTAATAAGAGTATAAGCAGTAATCGGGAAGATTAGGGTTTGGAGATGTTATTTAAAGAGTATAATACAGTGAAATAAATTTTGGAAGAGAAAAAAAAAAACAAGGAGGAATAAGGAGATCAAAATTTGGGAGAACACAAAGAGTGGATGCACCCGCCCAATCGCAAACGATTTTGAGCCATGTCATTCAGGGTCTCTAACCATCGATTACTATCATCTCGCGGTCCCAAACCAAGTAGTCTACACCTACCAACATGACTCAGACACTTGTTAGTGACTTCATGGACTTGTGCCATGTTTTGGTCTGGCCGCCCCTACATTTCTTCCAACCTACTCCTATACCACTGAACATCGCACGTCGAGGCAGTCGGTGGTTGGGCATACGTAGCACATTCCCAGCCATCTCAACTGAAGTTTCACTACGTCATCAATTGATTTGCCATCCCCACCTAGTATACGTTTCCTAACAACTGCATTACTTACTCGATGGTCCCAGGATATACGAGCAATGTTTCGAAGACACCTATGATCAAATACTAGTAACCTACGAATATCCTCTACTCTTACCGGCCATGTTTCACTGCCATAAAGTAGGACGGAATGAACTGCTGCGCAGTAAACACGTCCTTTGGTTGATAGACGGGTATCCCGCCTACGCCATAAATGACGCAAGTTGGCGAAAGCTAATCGAGCCTTCCGTATCCGTGCTGAGATTTCGTCACACACCAGACCACAAGGGCTGATGAGACTTCCAAGATAAGTGAAGCGATCGACACGCTCAATTACTTCACTCCCTATCACCAGTTCGGGTGTCAATGCAACCCAATCCTGAAGCAACATTTTACATTTCGAGGGGAGAATCGCATCCCGAACATGCTTGCATTGTTGCTTAGAGTGGTCAGAAGACTCTGCATTTTGTCAGCGTCTCCACCAAAGAAAACTATGTCATCAGCATATTCCAAGTCAACAAGTGAACCTCCTGGTAGAAGTTCAACCCCTGGAAATTTAGATGAGGAAAGTGTTATCTCTAAAAGTACGTCGACCACAAAGTTGAACAAGAATGGAGAGAGTGGGCAGCCCTGACGAACACCACTTGAGGTAATCAATTCTGATGACAGTTCGCCATAAGCTCTCACTCTACCAGTTGTGTTCGAGTAGAGAGCCTTTATAAGGTTAATGTACTTCTTTGGTACTCCTTTCAGTGACAAACACTGCCATAGAACCTCACGATCAACAGAGTCGAATGCCGCCTTAAGGTCGAGAAATACTACCATTGTGGGGCGTCTGAATGTGTGTCTGTGTTCTAGAACCTGACGTAGTGTGAATATCTGATCTATACAACCACGTCCAGGTCGAAAACCAGCCTGATTTTCTCTAGTCTGCTCTTCACGAGCTTTAGTTAGGCGTCGAAGTATTATTGAAACTAATATTTTAGACACTATATTAGGCAAACTGATTCCTTTGTGATTGTCACAGGAGCACTTTTGTCCTTTCTTTTAGACTGGCACAATCAGTGATTGAGACCAGTCAGATGGGATTACGTCCAGTTCCCAAATCCTACCTAAGACCTCAGTTAATCAGTATAAGTCAAATAATTGTCGATTCCAAACCAAACTTCATCCGGATTCGGAAAATAAACCTCTAGATCATTAAAATCACATTACTAACTTCATTAAAGGACAATCCACTGCTTCATATACTTGGGTTTATTCTCAGTACATATTTCAAAGACCAGTAAATTTTTGCATTACATAATGCCAATTACCTGACTAGGTCCTTTTGTTATAAACTAAATTGAGCTAAATTCTGACCATCATACCTGCTATTTCAACAATTTCCATGTTATGACAGTAGTAGTTTACTGAATTAACATACACTCAGTCCCCTTGTATAACTCCGCCTGGAGTCCCAACGGGGGCTACTG